TGTTTGGCGGGTCCGGGCTGGGGATTCGAACCCGCCACCTTAGGTGTACGTGGCTGGCGCCTTAGCCGGTTGAGCTATAGGCGCTGAGCCCGGGGTTTTGTTTTCTTGACACAAGGTCTTGCTCTGTCTCCCAGGATACAATAGCTCATTGCAACCTCAAACTCCTGGGCTCAAGTGATCCTACTGTCTCAGCGTCTCCAGTAGCTAAGACAATAGGCACACACCACCACAATTTTTCTTTAGCATCTTGCAGAGACGGCATCTCTGGGGTCTTGTTATATTGCCTAGCCTGGTATCAAACTCATGGCTTCAAGGGATCTTTCCTCCTCCTAAGTGCTGGAAGCCATGGCACCTGGCCTTAAATTTCTTTTAAATGTAGTTCCTCTATGCAATTAACCCATTTATGTCAGAGGTTGAAATTTCTCAATTCTGTGCATGACTGTTTGACAAGCTCCCAGCAGTAACTAACTCTGTGCACCATGTGACAAAATGTACCTCCTAAGGGAGGCAGACGTGTGAAAAATGAGACCTCAGCAATGACCTAGAACAGTAGGATATACATAACTCCCACACCATGACCAGTCCAATAATGGAAGGTAAGGCATAAATGGGTTAAGTCCCTGTATGCAATTCCAAGTTTTCTATAGTCAGCTATCTTTTTTTGTGAGATAGTCTCACTTTGTTGCTCAGGCAAGAATGCCATGGCGTCAGCCTAGCTCAGAGCAACCCTCACCTCCTGGGTTCAAGCGATCTTCAGTCTCAACCTCCCAAGTAGCTAGAACTATAGGCACTCCCCACAATACCTGGCTAATTTTTCTATTTTTAGTAGAGACAGAGTCTCTTTCTTGCTCAGGCTGGTCTTGAAGTCCTGGGCTCAAGGGATCTTCCTACCTCAACCTCCTATTGTGCTAGGATTACAGGTGTGAGCCCCTGTGCCTGCCATGGATTTTGTTCTAAAAATCAGTGTGTATGGCCTACAGTCAGCTTTCTGATTATTAAACTGCTCACTCGATCAGTATCTAATTGCTATCAAGCATACTGTCCATCTTCCTAACATTACTGAATTAATCACTAGCTTAAAAAGTATTTCACAAATTTTCAAATTATCCAAATGTAAAATAATTTGTTCTGTTTTTTACTTTGATATAATATTTGAATTTTGTTATAATATGGCCTGTCTAAACTGATGAATGTATTAATCGTTTTCAGCTTTGAAATTTTTGACCCGCTTCAGATGCAACAGCCACATACTATCAGTTGAAAAGCCACATTTCTGACTGCTTTCATTTTGAACTAATTTCAGAATCTAAAATAACTTTTTCTTTTTTTATACATCTGCTTCCTAAGGCTGGCTGCAATTTACTATTTCACCTTGAAACATACCTCGTATAAAAATTTTAAACTCTTAGGAATTATTTTATAGTAGAACATCAACATTTTTTGAATAGGTGAAAGCTTTTATATTACATTTTTATTTTGCAAGAAAATAAATTATACAACTTAAAAAATAAAATCCAAAAATTAAGCAGTTCATCAAAATATTTCAGCCTACTGCATACAGAAACTGCTACCATTTAAAATTGTACAGCATTATCATCTCAGTATGTAGTGGCAACATTCAAAATCGTAGAGACCATGTGAAGATAGATGACAACTTAGGAACTCAAATTTGTTCAACACTCCAGACGGCATATGGTGTCGATGACAGGAAAGCTCTCATGTGATGTTTATTTCACAAACATGACCTTGGAAGAATTTATAAGACAGCATCCCAGTCATTTACATGAAAATAGAAAAACAAGCTTGAGTTTAAGATAGCAAATCTTTCTGTAAAACTAGCAAATCTTTCACCCAAATTGAAGTTTTAAAATTTGCCCCTTGAGCAGCGCTAATGACATCCTACTGCAAATAATGCAAAATACTTTTTAACTACTCAGGTTGTATTTTGTATTAAGTTTAATAAAAAGTAAAAGTAAGAAAAACTAACATTTCATTTTGGAAATTTTAACATTTATGCACAAAATAAGAGCAAGAGACTTAAACAAGTTGAAAGAATTCAGGGACCCCTCTAATACATGTAAAAATCGGAAGACTTCAGAATTTATTTCAAGATCCTCATTAAATCACTGGAGCAGTAATGTTCTAATGTTTATTCCATAGTAAGCATCGAAATTGTTACATATTTTCACTTCGTTTCATGTCTACTTATTCTGGCAATGAGATGGCAACAAAGGTTAATGTTTTCCAGACACATCCATCTTTAAATTAGATGAGTGTTCAAAGCTTAAGTTAACCTGTGAAGTATCCTATTGCCATATTAATCATAAAAAATTAAATATATATGTATGTATATTTTAGGGGGAGTGTTTTCTTTTCCCTTAACTATGTCAGGCTTCCTCCCTGCTCATTTAGCACTAATTTTAAGTGCACATTTGGAGACAAGGGACCTGATAAAGGATACTAACTGTGATTCTGTACCTTTAGCAAACTGCTGGTAATATTTTCATTCTTTTTTTATTTAATTAGCAAATCTATTGTCAAAATATTAAAAGAAAATTCAATAAGATAGGCACCTTGTCAACTAAATTGGTTTTCCATAAACACCAAAAAGTAGTTAAACTTTTGTATATGTAACAAAAAAAGTGATGAAAACTGTAAGGTTACAGTATTTGCTGCTATTCAATCCCCAAAATACAATTAGGACATAATTAGCTATTAAAAAAGTTATAAAATTTAATAGAAAACTTCACTATGGATTTAGTGTTACCCACTTTTGCATTAAATTTGCCTTTATAAATCAAAACATCATGGCTCTCATTCTTAAATGACCAAAAAGATTAGAAATTCCAAAGACTACTGAGAACAATTATGGTTTAAAACAACAAATTCTAAATTTTAAAAAATGGCCTGTAATTGTTCCTCCCATTGTTTCTTCCTTTGGCATTCTTGTAGCGAAACAAGCAGATACGCCAACACCAAACTATCTGTCAGACACAAGGACCACTATCACTATAAAACTCTCTTCTAATTTCAAATTTACCCATTGTTAGCAGTCATCTAATTAGAGAAGACAGTGAGCACTAATTTTAGTTTAATTCATCACAATATGCTTGTTCTAATAATTGACATATGCTACTTTAAAGATGCATTAAGATTTTAAATTATAAACCAAATTCCAATTTCCTATGAGTTTCAGACCAGGTATATAGCTGTAATCAGCAAAACCTTACATGTTTTAAACTTATTTTCCTTTCTAGCAGGCAGTTCACAAAGCCTCTTGAGGTTGGTTATGATTCTACACAATGTTCCTAGAAGCACTCTGCTGTAATGTAATACTGAATGCCTCGCCGCACTCCATTTTCCTACTATCTTCAAAACCATACTTAAGAAGTATTACTTAACATCAAACAAGATATAAAATAATTTGCAAGAAAATTTGAAACGTGCACCACAATGAGTAAAAATCCATGTTGAGGCGTTGTTTCCCAATGGGGAATAAATTGTTCTCTTTTAAATTGTTCAAGTCCTCAAGTCTTAAAATTTCTACTACTCTGGGTTATTCAGTTGCCAGCAACTAGTAAGTTGCTACTTTGGATTGACTGAAAGGAACATGGTAAATGTTGCCTTCTGAACATTTTAAAAATGTTTATTTTTAAAATATATAAATATATATGTACATATATTTGGCAAGTTTACTGCTCATAGGAAGATTGCAGCAATTTTGCTTATGCTTTTCAGGTCTTATGTTTTTTCTCTTCCTTCTAGGTGACTGATAACTTAATTATGACCTTTTAAAAGAGAAATGTCTTTCTTTCCAGAAACCTGAGGCTGTATATCCTTAATCATGAGACTTCAAAATACCAAAATAGTTCTACACTACAGATGAAGAGATCAGTTACATAACTGTATTATAGCAGAGCAGGAGATCTCTGCATTGTTTTTAATAAATTTAGATATGCATAATAAATATTAGGTATATAAATATTAAGTGTGTTAATAAACACTTAATATTTTTGTTTTGCTATTTTGACTCTGCAATCATAATGACCTAGCTATCTCCATAAATTTTTTTTAAACAGTTGAAGCAACAATTAACATAAGCTTCACTTTTTCAAAACAAGCTGTCCAGCCGTGTAAGATTTAAAAAACAAAACAAAAAAAAACATCTCATCATTTAACAACAAACAGCTAAAATAGCAGTCTCCTGCTTAAAGAAACCCAACATTTGTAAGTTAGAAATATTTAATACCATTTTTAGGTCACCATTAAAATCCAGTTATTATACTGAAGCAGTGTTTGAACAAACAATTTGATACTCTTAAATACTTCTCGCCTGTATCTGCGCTTCCCCAATGTTGCACTGATCAGCTTACTTTTATCATTAAAAGAAACCAACAGTGCTATTTCTAGTTTTAATTGCATTGTTTAAGAACAAAAGATAACAGTATTTTTCAGTGCATGAATATCTGAAAATCCTTCCTTGTGCAAGTACATTTTTCTAAGAGAGGAAAAAAAAGGAAAGAAAGCAACAAGAACCCCGCCCTCACCCTTCCCAACTGTATTTCTCCCGGTGGGTATAAATCAAATTTACTTTTAAAAGTTCATAAAGGGCTCTTCATGAATGCAAGTTTCTCCACAAAACAGCATGCTGTTAAAGAGTGTGCAACATGAAGGGAACGCCACCATGCTAACTAATGTGATTGGCAAAACAGAGTTGTTGTGTAAGGTAAGGCAGAGATTATTTATGTAATCAAAGTCCAAATAAACCTTTCTCCAGCACAAACTGTTAGAACTTTCTGCCCAAGCACTCCAAAATTTGGGTTCTTAATATTGTCGATGATATTCAAGGTTACGCCATGTAAATGAAGGTGTTGATATCGGACTCATCTCTTCTGATGTACTTGTGCTCTATCAGCCACTCTATCTGCTCTTTTATCATTTTCTTTTGTGGCAAGAACATGTTTTTCAAAATTTCTACTAATTCAGTCTGCAGCTGAGCATTACTAATTTTCTTTCTCATTTTCATTATTTGTATGATAGCTTCCTAAAAGAAAAAAATAAAAATGAGAGAGTATTAATATATTAAATATCTTAAATGCAAGTAAAGGCATTCTCTAACATCTACCCAAATGAGCAACAATCCCTAAAGGATTAATCCTGAGACCAGTGCCTTTTACTTAACAAATAAAAATATCCTTTTTTTCCATTCCCCACATAAGAAAATCTGCTTGTTATAGAAATTTTTTAAAATTAAGAAAAAAGGAAAATCCCCCATAGCTTCTCTGCTGAAAGAAAACCATACCTACTGTCACAAGATATTTCTTTCCTTTTTTTTTTTTTTTGAGACAGAGTTGGTAAAGTGCAGTAGCATTACAACTCACAGTAACCTCTAACTCTTGGGTTTAAGAGATCTCTTGCCTCAGCCTCCTGAGTAGGTGGGACTACAGGAGCCCACTACAATGCCTGGCTATTATGTTGTTGTTGCAGTTGTCATTGTTGTTTAGCAGGCCTGGGTTGGGTTCAAACCCGCCTGCCCCGTGTATGTGGCTGGCACCCTACCCACTGAGCTACGGGCACCACTCCATATTTCTTTTAATAATTCCCTTTTTCCCCATACCTTACATATTCTTAAAATTTATCTTACCTGTGAATACATGAATTAAAATGCAATAAAATCCTTATATGTAATTTTCCCCTTATATTCAGTTATTTATTTGTATGGTAGCAGAGGTACCTTTTTTTTTGGAGGCAGAATCTCATTTTGCTGTCCAGGCCAGAGCCCCATGGCATCAGCCTAACTTATAGCAACCTCAAAACTCCTGGATTCAAGGCATCCTTTTGCCTTAGCCTCCTGAGTAGCTGGGACTAAGGTGCCTGCCACAACATCCAGCTAATTTTTCTATTTTTAGTAGAGATGGGGGTCTTACAATTGCTCAGGCCAGTCTTGAATTCCTGAGCTCAAGGGAACCTCCTGCTTTGGCCTCCCACAGTGCTAGCATTATAGGCATGAGCCATGGTGCCTATCCTGGTGTTTTAAAAATCAGTAAGGGCCAGCATGGTGGCTCATGCTTATAATTCTAGCACACTGGGAGGCCAAGGCAGGTGGATCGCTTGAGCTCAGGAATTTGAGACCAGCCTGACCATGAGCGAGATAAAAAGAAAAAAATAAAAACAAAAATCAGTAGGCAAACTCTTTATATATTTACCAGATTAATAAATTATAGTTGCTATAAATATTATCTTTAGTTTTTATTGATCCAATTAATTTTTTTCCTTTTTTATTAGAGACAGAGTCTTTTGTTGCTCCGGACAGACTGCATAGCTCACTGCAATCTCATACTCTCGGGCTTGAGTGATCCTCCTGCCTCAGTCTCAGTACCTGGGACTGCAGGTGAACTTTTCTATTTTTTACAGAGATAGAGTCTTGCTCTTGCTCAGGCTGGTCTTGAACTCCTGACCACTTATCCTCCTGCTTCAGCCTCCCAGAGTGCTAAGATTAAAGGCATGAGACACCATACTCAGCAATTACACGCTTCTAACTTTCTAAAGGGATATTTTCCATTTTATCTACATTTTCCTTGATAATTTCTTTAACTACTACTACTAACCTTACAAAAGGGGTTATTTGAAAACTGTTAAATATCCTTTTCTTTTTACTTTTTCCAGTATAAGCCCTCTCTTTAGCCATTAAAAGGCATCTGTCTTGGTGGAGATTAGTAAAAAAGAAATATGAAAAAAGAAAAAGAAGAAACATTTGGTTTTAAAATTTAAAATGGAATTTTGCCATAAATCAATAGGTTTGGAGCCAGGCACTATTAGCAAGAGAAAAATACCTTTGACTTCTCTCGTATAGATATGACAACCCCTTCATTGACATTAAGGTTCAAGTGAATTCCTCTCTCCCTCAATATATTCAGATACCATGTTCTTGATCACAGATCATAAACTGGGATTTATGTCAAAGATCTGATTAAAAGAAGAGGGAAAGTCTGCCCTTTCAGGCACTTAAACATTAAACATTTGTATTTTTGTTTTTGGCTGAAGGAACTGGTCTCTTCACCTGAATCTAATCAATTACTAAAATTCTAACATTGCTGCTGCTTCTTTTTTTTTTTTTTTTGTTTGAGACAAAAATCATACTCTGTAGTCCTGGGTGTCATCATGGCTCTCACAGTATCCTCAAACTTTTGGGCTCAAGGGATTCTCTTGCCTCCACCTCCCAAGTAGCTGGGACAACAAGCCCCCGTCATGATGCCTGGTTAGTGAGATGGGGTCTCACTCTTGTTCAGGCTGGTCTCGAACACCTGAGCTCAAGCAATACTCCTGCCTCAGTCTTCCAGAGTGCTAGGATTACAGGCATGGGCCACCTAGCCTGGCCCAGTAGAAACATTTGTAAATGTCCTAATATTTCCTCATCTAGCTTTGGTAGAGGGAAGGTGGTGGTTGTGTTAAAGAATCTAAGAGGAAAACAGAGAAGCTCTGGCCTTGGTCCCCATTTGAGGCGCTGGAGGTCACTTAAAGAGTGGCACAATATGATGGAGAATCTGTACTCTCAACTCTGCCTCAGTTCCCTCAGAGTTCACAGCTAACGGCTGCCATGAGGCCTTTCCTTCCAGCATAGGGTGATCCTGCAATAACAGAGGATAATGACAGTGTGTCTTGTAGGCCAAGGGCCACACAGAGCAGGGTAAGGCAGTTGGAGCAGAAAGAAGCCACATGGCCTAAAACAATAAGCCGTTAGTTCATCTGCTATGTATTGATATGTTTGTCTGTTGGTATAAACAGGAGATAATAATAGAAAGCCAAATTTTCAAAGGGGACAGACAAACCATGCCATGCCTACCAAGAGCAAGAACCCAGTCACAACTGGCATCCCATTATACATTTCAACTCATTAATCTGTCTGGAATCATTAGATGTAACTATATCCTGACTTTTCCCACAGTAAAAATTTCTTATTGATAAAACCTCTTATTGAATAATTCATTCCGTTTCTATGAGTAGTGGAAATGATTTCCTTTAATACTTAAGTCTGCCTATATTTTAGGTTTTATTATTATTTTTTACTCTCCTATAGCTTCCTTTCTTTCTGCAATATACACTTTAAGTCTGGTTATTTTCTTCAATTAAACCATCTTCTTGCCACACTGTTTTATTTATTTTTTCACACTGTTTTATTTTTGTAGATATTTTAGTACATTTCAACATCTGGCAGGGCAAGTTTCACCATCAACTTTATTCTTTTTTTTTTTTTGAGACAAAGCCTCAAGCTGTTCCCCTGGGTAGAGTGCCGTGGCCTCACAGCTCACAGCAACCTCCAACTCCTGGGCTCAAGCGAGTCTCCTGCCTCCGCCTCCCAAGTAGCTGGGACCACAGGCGCCCGCCACAACACCCCGCTATTTTTTGTTGCAGCCGTCATTGTTGTTTGGCAGGCCCGGGCTGGATTCAAACCCTCCACCTTAGGTGTATGTGGCTGGCGCCTTAGCCACTTGAGCCACAGGCGCTGAGCCATCAACTTCATTCTTAATTTTTTAAGTTTCTCAATCACTTTCATCATCTATTTATTCTGATAAAACTGAGAATTTGTAAAATTTCAATAGTATTCCTAATTTTTTTTAACTCTCGCTATGTATGTAGTCATTAAACTACTGAATTTTATGTGAAATTTAGTGAACCTGGTATTAATATGGGAAAAATTGACTTTTTACATGTCAGCCTTATCATGAAAGAATATGGCATTTCATAAAGTTAAGACTATATACTGTCTGATTTTAGTTATATGAAGACCTAACTAGCACAAACTAAACAAGGTGTAAAAATCAGCTGGGGCAGAGGAGAAGATTGGCTGGGAAAATTATCGGAACGATGGAAATGTTCTGTATCTTAATAGGTATGTGCATTTCTTACAACTCACTTAAAATTACACTTTGCAATGAGCATTCTATTGAATGTAAATTACAACATGAAATTTTGACAACTTTAAAAAAAGGCCTTTTGTCTATTTATTCAGATCTCCTTCTGAATTTCTCAGTAAAAGGGCATGTTCTTTCCATGCAGATCCTACTTAGTATTTAAAAAAAAAAGAATTTTATGGTTCCTTATTTTATTTTCCCCTTATTTATTGTTACATGGAAAGGCAACTAGCTCTACTACTCTGTCATATGAGCTATAATACAAAATTTTAATATTTTCCTCTTATTTCATATTTTACTACACTGTTCAGAAGTTTTATTTATATATTTATTTAATAATATTAAATAAAAATAATAAAAGTTGGGGTGGCACCTGTGGTTCAGTGGTTAAGGCACTGGCCTCATATAACGAGAGTAGTGGGTTCAGACTCAGCCCCGGCCAAACTGCTACAAAAAAATAGCCATTGTGGCAGGCACCTGTAGTCCCTGCTACTGGGAGGCTGAGATAAGAGAATCGCTTAAGCCCAGGAGTTAAGAGGTTGCTGTGAGCTGTGAAGCCATGACACTCTACTGAGGGCAGTAAAATGAGACTCTATCTCTAAAAAATACTACTACTAATAAAAGTTGAATAACTTTTTTTTTGAGACAGAGTCTCACTTTGTTGCCCTTGTAGAGTGCTGTTGAGTCACTCTACAGTAAAGTGAGTCACAGCTCACAGTAACGTCAAACTCTTGGGCAATTCTCTTGCCTCAGCCTCTCAAGTAGCTGGGACTACAGGCGCCCACTACAACGCCCAGCTGTTTTTAGAGATGAAGTCTAGCTATGGCTCAGGCTGGAACAACTTGGTTTTAAAACAACTATTTCTTGGCTAGGCATGGTGGCTTATATGGGGCTGATGCTAGAATGCTGCTTGAGCCCAGGAGTTTAAGATCCTCCCGGAAAAAGATAATGAGATCTTGTCTCCACAAGATATTGAAAGATTCATCAGTTGTGGTGGTATGTGCCTGTAGAACCAACTGCTGGGGAGGTTGAGATGAGAGAATCACTTGAGAACAGGAGTTTGAGGCTGTAGTGAGCTTTGATGGTGCCTCTGGAGCTTAGGCAACATAGGGAGATCCTATTTTGATAAAGAAAAGAGAAAAAAAACCCTACAGAAACTATTTCTAAAGTTAAAACAATCATACATCAGTTTGCAATGTTTTCTTTATCATGTTTAGAGTATATCATAATCCAAGTTTTAAACTATTTTCTAAATTTTTCAAATTAAAAAAAAAAAAAAGACTTTTAGAGACAGTATCTTACTATGTTGTCCAGACTGGCCTCAAACTCCTGACTTCCAATGATCCTTTTACCCCAGACTCTCAAAGGGCTAGGATTATAGGCTTTACTCATCATGCCTGGCCTTAAACTATTTTGTTGTTGTAGTGCCTACGAGCAGAGTGTAGTGGCACTAGCTCACTGCAACCTCAGGCTCGGACTTTGGGTATCCTGCTGCCTCAGTCTCCTGAAGCTGCTGGGATTACAGTCGCTTGCTGCAGTGCCCAACTGGGTTTTTCTTTTTTTTTAATTGAGTTGGGATCTCACTCTTGCTCAAACAAGTCTCAAATTTCTGAGCTCAAGCAATCCTCCCACTCAGCCTCCTGTAGTGCTGGGATTACTGGTGGGAGCCACCGTGCCTGGCCCTTAAATTATATTTAAGAGAAAGAATTTTAAAAGAAAGAATGGATATTAGAGAACTTCCCTGGTTCCAAATAAAAATTTCCTAATTTCACGTTATAATGGAATATAATTTTAAACACAGTAGAACCTCCATAGTAGACCACCTCCTTAGGGTGACCTAATTTTCACAGACTGGACATGCACAACAGGTGTGTTTCAGTACTTCAGGTCCAGTTCCTTCTGCTGACCCCCTCCGTATGTTGACCAGTTTTTACAGTCCCTTGTGTGGTCAACTTACAGAGGTTGTATTATACTTCAGTCCTACTGTAATTTGTTGCTGAGATTCAGGTGGGGTAATAAGGAGACATAACCAAAAACAAAAACCAAGCGTTTATCCAACTAATAGATCAAAGTCAATGGGAAGCCACTAAGCCAAACAGACAGCCCTTTCAGCAGATAAGAGATCTCCATCTATATAATTTTAAAATTCTAATAAAATAAAAATTAGCTAATTTTTTAAAAGCCTAAATACCTACATGCTTTTAAATTAAAAAATGTATATATTTACAAAAAAACCCCCAGGCTTTTCAAAATGTAGACATTCTGTCAGTAATTACAAACCTGTGTTCTTAATATTCTTAGCTGGACTATCCCTTCATTCTCTTCTTCTCTCATCCTTTCTGTCGTGAGCTGCAAGCGTCCAATCAAGTTGATTTTACCCCTTTTCTGAACTTTTGCATTTTTTCTATAAAAAAATCGAACCAAATATTTTACAGTGAAAAGGCTTTAAACATCATATTACTGCAACAATGGCTTAGAAAAAAATTTCAAAATATTCTAAAAATTAGTACCAAGAACTGTTCAAAAGAAAAGTAACAAATAATCAACATGTAGCTTTAAAATGAACTCTTACCATTTCCTTTAAACATGATACAACCCCTATTAACAAAATATGAGTAACTATACTCCCTGTAATAACAAAATAAATATAATTTACATTGCCATGAAAATGATCAGCTAACTGAAGATACTAAGTTGTAATTAAGCATTATCATCTTATTGCATCTAAAGGAAAAAAATGCTTTATCTGAATAAAGTTCAGTGCAAAGGATGTTTAATTTAAAAATGAAAAGCAGGCCAGGTGAGGTAGTTCACGCCTATAATCCCAGCACTCTGGGAAGGCCAAGGCAGGTGGATTGCCTGAGCTCATGAGTTCCAGACCAGACTGAGTTAGAGGGAGACCCCATCTCTAAAAATAGCTGAGCGTTGTGCCAGGAACCTGTAGTCTCAGCTACATGGGAGGCTGAAGCAAGAGGATCGCTTGAGCCCAAGAGTTTGAGGTTGCTGTGAGCTATGATGCCACAGCACTCTACTGAGGGTGACAAAGTAAGACTGCCTCAAAAAAAAAAAAGACAGAAAGAAAGAAAAACAATACATATATATCTATAGAAGACATGGTAAAGAAGTAAATATCTCCAATTCATTTTTTCAATAAATAACTAAATGACAAAATTTACAGTGACGACAGTATACAATTATGTTTTAAAGGAAAGTAATTATTTTGCTAAAAGTAAAGCACTAAAATTCAAACGAGGTTATTTTTATTTTAGATCAACATAAAGCTTACATTAAACTGAACTCCTGGTTCACTGAGAAGAGGGTACCTTCTGTGAAGTCTTTGGGTGAGTTGACTTGAGGTTCATACAATAAAACTTGCCGTTTGAGCTTTGGGAAAGCCACTAAAGACTGAGGACAAAGAGAGAACAATTAGCACTGATCAACAGTATGGGATTCTGATATTGTCCAACATAACTAACACAGGCAATAATCACAAAGTCAGAATATCTACTTGGTACTTCTGTGGCTGTAACAATATAAATTCATAATGAGGAAAGAGAGAAGAGAAAGAGTTGTGCGGAAGCAATAAACACTCTCCTTACAGTAAGATAAGAAATGGGATGGGTCACATAAAGTAGAACAAACACTACCTGCAAGTTATAAACCAGCTATGTCTTCTGAACGCAGTCGTTTATTTTGGAACTTTCACTAAGTCTACGGAGTAGAGTTATGAGTCAGAGGCCAAAATGTTCTAACCTTTAGTTTTCTGTTCATCATAAAAAATTTTTTTAAAAAATAACTCTTTAATTATATGCACGTAAGGGGGATAAAGGGAAATACGAGGCTGATAAGGGAAGGTAATAGGGTATTCTCCCTTTATCCCAGTGTCTGCTTGGCACAGTTCTGAGATCACACACACAACTGGGGTGGGCTGAGAAGTAGAATAAGGGAGAGGACTGAAGAGACAAAGGCAAGGAAGGAGAGGAAGGGCTCGCAGTAGTCCCGGGCAGTGGACTCCAACACAGATTCACCCAGCGCAAGGCCCCCGGAGTGTTCAGCCTCATGCTTTCTGAGACGTTCTCTGCAGGGCACTGTCTGAACTTCATCTCTCTAAAACTCCGGTCTTTGGCTATGCCCTCCCTAGACTAGTACAAACACACTCTTAGTGTAAAAATTAAATGCATATCTTTCATCACATTTCTCACAGATAGTATCTATTCTCTCCCTTTTTGGGAGGGGCCCTTTCTCTGTCATGGTAACATCTATTTTCAATTTCTTTTTTCCATAAATACTTCATTAGTGTATTTTTATTGGTTATAAAGCCATTTTGAGGGTGTTATGAATTCAAAAATATATTACAAACCAATCATGTATTTTCTGCTATATGAGAGGATACAGTTTTACAAACAAAAAACAAAACCAACCAACCCATAAAGTCCTTCTGAGCTCAGCATCAGGGAGTTCAGTTGCAAGTTTGAGATTTTCAAAGCTGATTTTCTCTCTAGGTCTTTGGTTCCATGCAAACAATACAGCCAGCTGAAACGTGGTTACCTCCAAATCATATTGACCTACTTCATTCTTAAATGTTATCTGTAATAGATAAAATAGTTTTTTAATAATCAAGAATCTCTTCATGATGACTACCGTCTAATATAATGTCTACGACATGAGCTAATATGTGAAAAAAGTTGTAGTTAGCCATTCCGTCTCTTCTTTTATGGTAATAAAAATTTTATCAGTCTTTAATGACTACTCAGAATACAAACTCATTGCCCAGCTTTCCCTGTAACAACATATGGCCACGAGACTGAGTTCTGGCCAGTGGAAGTGGTGGGGGAACTTGGACAAGCTGCCTTAAAGGAAGGCACAAGCACACACTCCTCTCCCTTCCGGTTGGCAGGAAGAATGACACAGCAGGGATCACACTGTATTGTAGACAAGAGCAATACCTAAACCTTGATTGTGTAGCCAAAAGCCATGTCCCCCAAAACTTCATGGAATAGAATTGTTAATCCTGCTCAAACTTTTACATCAAAGAGAGACAAAAAAATCTGCTTTAAGTAACTTTTATGTCAAGGTTTGCTAATTATACTCAAAGTGACACCATCTACTCACAATTCCATTTGACATGAGATGATGCCAATGTAATTTTCTACCGCTATGATTTTTTTTGTAGAATTCTTCTACTTCAGGTATCAAGTCCTCCAGTTCAGTAGGAAGTGAGACAAAGACTTTTTCAGAACTTCTTGACCAGGCACCAGCATTCAGAATTTTTATATTAACTGAATCAGCTATAGGCAAGAATAACAGGAAATAAAAAGTTAATAATCATGCCAATGGATGAAATTCAAAATAAATAATACAGGGTAAGCTTTAATGAAAAAAAACAAGACTATAAAGATTTTATTAAAAGTTTCTTTTTGCTTCAAAATAAGAATCTGTAAATCTAACATTATGCTTTGATAGCTGTCTTCAAGGAATAAGGACATCATGACATCTTTGAATCTATTATTGCTAACATTTATTTTTAACTTACTGGAAAACAAAGATATTCTTTTCCTCAAAGTTTGAAAATATACACATATATGTAATTATAAAATAATACCTGGTAAAGCCAATTTATTATTTTTGTGCATTTCCTTAAAAGCTTGGTTCAAATCTTCAGATACTTTTATGTCCTGAAACATTCTAGCAAGCTTATTTACATAATCTGCTGGCATACCCACTTCCTACAAAAATCAAAGAGAAGAAGTAATAAATATATAATAATTTGTGATACTATTAGGAAAAATTTTAATGGAACACTAAGCCTTAGATATTTTTAATACAAATTTTTCTTCTCTCCTTTATTTATCAGAATGCTTACAGTCTAATAATTATTCTTAGAAACTATATAGGATAGTAAGCAGTCCCTGTACAGTTAAATTCCCCAACAACACAGCTCAACTTTCAGTTGCAACTACATAATAAATGCAACTACACAAAGTATAAACTTAACTTCTAGTTCCTCATTCTACATATTCTAACAAAAATAACAGGAGAACATCATGATCGGTGACCAATCACAATTCTTCTTTCAAAGTCTACTAGTCATGGCTCGGCGCCTATAGCTCAACCGACTAAGGCGCCAGCCACGTACACCTAAGGTGGCGGGTTCGAATCCCCAGCCCGGACCCGCCAAACAACAATGATGGCTGCAACCAAAAAATAGCCGGGCGTTGTGGTGGGCGCCTGTGGTCCCAGCTACTTGGGAGGCGGAGGCAGGAGACTCGCTTGAGCCCAGGAGTTGGAGGTTGCTGTGAGCTGTAATGCCACGGCACTCTACCCAGGGGGACAGCTTGAGGCTCTGTCTCAAAAAAAAAAAAAAAAAAAGTCTACTAGTCATTTGTTTGTTTAGTTCACCTATGGACAGCATGATGAGCGTGATGTGTGGTCCCACTGCACCCATTTTCCAGTGATAAAAACACATGATGAGTTACAAAAATGATAATCAAACGAAGTAACTGACCAACAAAGCTGATGAAAGTACACCAAAGAAAGGAACAGCGTCAGTGTTGGAAATGAAGATAAAATAAAACATTAAGGTTCAGCGCCTGTAGCTCAGTAAACAGGGAGCCACATACACCGAGGCTGTGGATTTGAGCCTGGCGTGGGCCAGCTAAACAACAATGACAACTGCAACCAAAAAAAAAAAAAAAATAGCTGGGCACTGTGGCAGGCACCTATAGTCCCAGCTACTTGGAAGGCTGAGGCTAGAGAATTGCTTAAGCCCAGGAGTTTGAGGTTACCGTGAGCTCTGATACCATAGCACTCTACCCAGGGCAACATAGTGAGACTCTGTCTCAGAAAAAAAAAGAAAAAAATTAAACATTACTGGAGTTAAATAAGAAAGCTGACTGGTCATCAGTTTGGCACTGTCAACATTAAGGACTCTACAGATACGCAAGCACAGGAACTTAGTGAAGGCAAATTAGCAACATAAAGAGAAAAGTGTAAGATACCCCAGAGGAAGTAATGCTGGCAAAAACTTGACAGCAAAGGAACTCTCAGTATTTCATGACACTGAAAGCCCAAAAGATAAAATGCTAGAAGCTGATCCAAACTTACAGGGGGTTTGACAACTCTCCAAAGCACAGAAAAAATGCTTATTCCATCATAAGTTATAGGGCAAGAAGGGAAGTGCTATTCAAACCACTCTCTTCATTTTAATAAAGGCTATGTTAAGATATGAAATTCATCTACCATAAAATTCACCCTTTTTTAAGTATACACTTAGTAGATTTTAGTACATTCACAGACTTATGTAATTATAATCACTATCTCATTTTATTTTTTACTTTTTGTTTGTTTTTGAGACAGTATCTCACTTTGTCACCCTTGCTAGAGTGCCATGGCTCACATCAACCTCAAACCGTTGGGGTCAAGTGATTCTCTTGCCTCAGCTCTCTAGTAGCTGGGGCTACAGGTGCCCACCACAATGGTTGGCTAGTTTTTCTACTTTTAGTAGAGATAAGATCTCACTCTTGCTCACACTGGTCTTGAACTCCTGAGCTCAAGCAATCCACCCACCTTGGCCTCCTAGAGAGCTAGGAATATAGGTGTGTGCCACTGTGCCTAGCCACCACTATCTAGACATCTAGAATTTGACATCTTCATCACTACAGAAAAAAACTTATCTGTAGTCGCTCTCCATTTCCCCTCCCAGCCCCAGCTCCTGGAAACAACTAATCTAATTTCTGTCTCTAAAGATTTACCTATTCTGGACACTTCCCATTAGTGAAATAGTAGACATGTGGCCTTGTGTGACTGGCTTGTTTCACTTAGCATTATAACATTTTCAAAGTTCATTTATATTGCAGTGTCTTAGTACTTCATTTCACTTTATTATCAAGTAATCTTTTATTATATGAATAAATCAATTTTTTTATTCATTAGCTCACTGCCATTTTAGGTTGTGTTTTGACCATTATAAATACTGCCATGAAAATTTATTTACAAGTTTTTATATAAACATATGTTTCATTTCTCTAAAGTGGAATTATCTAGAAATAGAACTCCTACATTAATTAAATGTTTTAACTTTTTAAGAAACTGCCCCTGGGTGTGGCACCTGTAGCTCAGCAGTTAGGGCACTGGCCACATATACTGGGGCTGGCGGGTTTGAACCTGGCTCAGGCCTGCTAAACAATGACAACTACAACAACAAAAAATAGCTGGGAGTTGTAACGGGCACCTGTAGTCCCAGCTGCTTGGGAGGCTGAGGCAAAAGAATTGCTTAAGCCCAAGAGTTTGAGGCTGCTGTGAGCTGTGACACCCTGGCACTCTACTGAGGGTGACATAGTGAGACTCTGTTCCTCCCCCGCCCAAAAAAAGAAAAAAGAAACTGCCCCTGGCCGGTGCAGTGGCTCATACCTGTAATCCTAGCACTCTGGGAGGACCAGACGGGTGGATAGCTTGAGCTCATGAGTTCGAGACCAGCCTGAGCAAAAGCAAGACCACCCCACATCTCTACTAAAAATCTCTACTGACACAAGAGGATCACTTGAGCCCAAGCTGGAGGTTGCTGTGAGCTATGACGCTATGATACTCTACCCAAGAAGACAGCCTGAGACTGCTTCAAAAACAAAACAAACAAAACCAAAACGACCGCCTTCCCCAAAAGAAAAAAGGAAAAAAAAAAAGACTGCCCCAACAATTTTCTAAGTGGCAGTACCATTTTATATCCCCACTAGCAACCTAATTATGTTCCAATTTCTCCTCTTCCTGGCAGTATGTTATTGTCTATCTTTATTTAAAAGACAGAGTCTTACGCCCCTTGGTAGAGTGCCCTGGCATCACAACTCACAGCAATCTCAAACTCTTAGGCTTAAGCAATTTTCTTGCCTCAGCCTCCCAAGTAGCAGGGAGTACACACGCCTGCCATTAATAGCCGGCTATTTTTGGTTGTTGTTGTTGTAGCCGTTATTGTTTTTTGGCAGGCCCAGGCTGGGTTTGAACCTGCCAACCCCACGTATGTGGCTGGCGCGCCAGCTGCTGAGCTAAAGGCGCCCAGCCAGTTAGTCTTTTTTATTTCAGCTGTCCTGACAACTGAAAGTGGAATCTCCTTGTGGCTTTGATTTGCATTTCACTAACGATGTTGCGCATCTCTGCATGTAATTATTGGCTATCTGTATATCTTTTGTGAAGAATTAAATCCTTTGCTCATGTTTAATTTGGTTATTTGTTGTTTTATTGCTGTATCTTTAAATATTCTAGATATAATATTAGACACATTCTAGATATAATATTAGACACATAAAGTACAAATATTTTCCTAACTACTCTCAATTTTTTTTGTTTGTTTTTGTTTTTGAGACAGAGTCTCACTATGTTGCCCTCAGTGGAGTGCTGTAGCATCACAGTTCACAGCAACCTCAAACTCTTGGGCTTAAGTGATTCTCTTGCCTCAGACTCCCAAGTAGTTGAGACTACAAGCACCCGCCACAACACCTGGCTTTTTTTTGTTATAGTCGTCATTGTTTTTTTGCAGGCCCTGGGCTGGGTTTGAACCCGCCAGCCTTGGTGTATGTCTAGCTCCCTAGCCTCTGAGCTACAGGCGCTGAGCCTACACTTGATGTTTTTTACAAAGAAATCTTTAAAGTACTTTAATTCTAATTGTTTCTTATGTTTTAAAATGCAGTATGCTAAATACATATAGTTTTATCATTTTTTCCCTCTTTTTTCTGCACATAACTGACAGTAAGAGTTCTGAATATTTTGACAAAATTTTTTTAAAGTCCTAGAACATTCTTTTTCCCACTATACACAGTTTCAGATGGCACAGTAATTTTTACTATCCCATGCTGCCATGCAAAGCAGGGTTATCTCTAAGTTAAATCAACTTATCTATCCAGAAATGAAGGATATTCATTTTAATAATGCTCAAATTCCATTAAAACAAACTAAAAGGCAGAGATTCAAAATATTTTATATGGGAATTTAGTTATAATCAGCATTGATTATCCTAACTAAGCCATCATTTAAAGGTTCATTTTACTATACAGATGTATTTGTTGTTAATTATTTTATTTTATTTTTTTAGACGGAGCCTCAAGCTATCTCCTGGGTAGAGTGCCATGGCATCACAGCTCACAGCAACCTCCAACTCCTGGGCTCAAGCGAGTCTCCTGCCTCAGCCTCCCAAGTAGCCTGGGACCACAGACACCCGCCACAACACCCGGCTATTTTTTGGTTGCTGTCGCTTTTGTTGGGCGGGCCCGGGCTGGGGATTCGACCCCGCCACCTTATGTGTATGTGGCTGGCGCCTTAGCCGCTTGAGCCACAGGCACCGAGTCTGTTGTTAATTATTTACAAACATCTCTATAGTTAAGTACGTAGCACGGAAAACACCTTAAAAATAAAACAGTTTGCCCTGTAGCCTGTTTATTAATAAGGTCGGTTCAAAGGAGAGCAGAGGTATATCCAAGAAATAGTATAAAGAAAGCAAGAGCAAAGATGTTTTACTGTAAGTCTTTATTAAGAAAATTTACCTTATTAGTCATCACTTTATATAATCGATGCTATAGTCTTATAAAATGCTCCCCATTTCTTTAACAGTAACGGTATCACCCAAAATGTCTTAAAGATGTATATAAACCACATAATATATTAGATACCAAATATTAAAAAAATATACTTACTCTTAGCCACTCTACCATATTTTCTTCAATTTCACTATCAGCAGAGATGTCTAATATAAGACGTCGTGTCAAATGAGCTTTGTGATATCTCATAAAAACATCTTTGTTTTGTACATATTTAAGTACCAAGAGCTGTATGAAAAACAAAGTTACTTTCAATTCTTATATATTCTTAAATAGTCTCTCTCATTTAGACCTTTCTATATCCCCCAATTGCCAAAATTCAGAAATTTATAGAAACAAATACAGATAGAGGCTATCTCTGAAACATAACCAATCGTTAGACTACCTGAAAAGTCAGCAAATGTGAGAATGTAACCAAATAACCGTTTAGTCCCCATAAATACCAGCTTTTTAAGATTCTATATAAAAAAGGGACCACACTTTCCATGAAAAAAACTCAATGGTTCTTCCCAAGTTTTCTCTTCTTCATATCTTCTTTACTTTTTTCCTGACTATAATTATCTTTTTTGTCTACACTTGCCCTATGTCTTTCCTTCTTATTTTCCCTTCTCTGTATTCTTTGGCTTTTATTGTTACACTAACAACAACAACAAAAAAATGAGAGCAACTAACTCTTTATCTATTCTCATTCATCTCTATGTTGGGCTCTCACAAAAAATAAAGGAGTGAAAAACTCCCACTCTCTATTATTATTCCAAATTTATCAGTTTTACTTTCCCCTTTTTAATCTTTTAATAGGAGATAGAATACTGCCTAAAAAGAATCAAGAAAGGAGAATTAAACGGTATCCGTTTTTAGGAAGCCATAAAATAAAAATTTTCACAGAGAAAAATAACTATCCAGTAGTCTTATTTTATTTTTTTTTTTTTGAGACGGAGCCTCAAGCTGTCCCCCTGGGTAGAGTGCCATGGTATCACAGCTCACAGCAACCTCCAACTCCTGGGCTCAAG